AAGCGCTGGGCCGCTGGGGAGGGATTCGGTCTCAGGGCAGAGGAAATGGTGTGCCGGGGGGGGCACGGCTGACAACCAGCTCCTTGCCTCTCCCAAGCAGATAAACGTCTCGATTATGGGGAGAGAAAAAGGAAAAATCTATGCAAAGTCGTTTAAAAAGGGCAGTCGGAGAGCTGCTGGCAGGGCGTAGCAGGCAGGACCCAAACCTGGCAGAGCAGGGCTGTGAGCAGGGCTGTGAGCAGCGACAGCGATGTTTGAGAGTTTTTGTGGAGGGGAGAGGGATGCAGTAGTTTAATGTGGAGGATGGGGAGAAGAGAGGCTGTCTTGCCTGGAAGCTGGTGATGGTGCAGGCGAGTGGGGCGCTAGCTGAGTTTGGATATTGTCGTGTGTGTGTGTGTGTGTGTCCGTCCGTCCGTCCGTCCCGCTCAAGTAGGAAAGCAGGCTGCTGGAGCTTGCAGGCCTTCCCTGACTTTGGGAGCTTTGGGGCTCAAGGGGCTCATGAAGGAGGGATGGGAAGAGTTGAGACAACAACCAAGACTTTAGGGGAGAAGGGCCAGGCTGGGAGGAACTCCAGCGAGCTGGGACTGGTCCTCAGTTGCCATCCACATGTATCTGAGAGCTGGAGCTGTGGGCTAGAGAAATAGAGACACAGAAATAGCCCCAAACTAAGACTTTTCGGAACTTCTGGGTCCTTTGCAGGTGGGGAAGGGTCAATAGGTGGGAAGGGAGGCTGAGGGGGGCTGTGGGTGTGCTGCTGATGGGGTTGTTCCTGGGGTGAGGAGGACTCTAAATAGAGGAAGTGAGAAGATGGGGGTTTCTCTCTTGCCGTTGCAGGTTGTTTGACTTGGACCCTGACCTGTTGCCCCTCTTCCAGTACAACTGCAAGCAGTTTGCCAGCCCTCAGGAGTGCCTCTCTGCCCCCGAGTTCCTGGATCACATCAGGAAGGTGAGGGAAGGGCTGCGGCATGGCCGGAACACAGCCTCCGGGGAGGAGGAAGCCCTTAGGCAGTGGCTTGGGACTGTGGGGTGTCTGAATGGGGAACGCATGGGAAGTCTCCTCCTGAGAGGGTAACGGAAGAGGGTTACTCATGCTAGCAGAAGGTGCTATTGCCAGGACAAAGTGCCCTACAACAGTGGGGAGGGGATGAGGACGCGGGTTGTGGTGGGTAAGAAGCACTGCGCTGATTTCCCTGCCCTCATCTGAGAGTGGATTGCCTCTTGTGAAAGTTGGAAGCCCCCTTCTTCTACCATGGAAGTGCCTCAGTGAGCTCACTTCTGTCCAGACAAGAACTGAAGCCCTCTGCTCGGCTGCATGTGGACCAGGAGGTGGGACAGAGCTGGGCAGTGGGCCAGGCTCCTGGGGACCCACTGCTGTGGAGAAGCTGTTGGTGCGGCTGCAGAGCCAGAAGGCCCACAGCATCTCTTGGATAGCCTCGGGGTGGGAGTGCTGCAATATACATTTGCCTGCCCCCGAAATAGGTCTGATGACATCAGCATTGCCCCTTTCCCTATTTTGGAAAATAGGGACACGCACGGACCAAATTACACCTGCTGCAGGAGAGCCCCTTTGCTGAGCACTGAAGAGCTGCCACGCCAGAGCAGAGCACAGCCTTGGCTCTTCCTAAACTGTCTGGCTCCATCTTTAAGCCAGTTTGGTGCCTCACTTGCCTGCCTTTATTCCTCGTAAGAGGCTGTTTCAGGACTGTGCTCCTCTGATAGCTGCAAGCTTTTTGTTATTTTCCAGCCTTTGTCTATTGGCAAAGTTAAGTCCATTTTTACTTCTGCTGTTATTGCCATGAGCTGAAATAGCTCTTTGCTCTTGTTGGAGATAATTTCCCTGTTGAAATTATTGAGCACAATTCTATCACCTCTTGGCTTTGCCAAGCTAACTATGCCCTGGCTTTAATCTCTTCTTCAATTTGGTGTGTCTGTTCCCTTCAGTGCCCATTAACCCTTCTCTGTCCTGTTTTCCTTTGACTCTTCATGCTCCTGGGAGACCATGGTGGTGTGTGCTTTACCAGAGCAGGTCTCTTGGCTGTACTATCCACCCCATCTCCTCAGAATACCTTGGCTGATCTTAGAATTGGAGTTGCCTTATTCACAGTTGCACCATCTTGGCAACTTCTAGTTGGAAACTCGGGTCCTGGCAACTTCCAGTGCTCCCTTGCAGTTGTCCTGGGGTCCTAAGCATTAGATCTTAGCCCACATCAGCTCTGCTATAGGGTGTCTACCCCCTCTGGGACAGAGAGGTCAGCAGTGCCACTTGCTGTGACACCTCGGGCAGCGTCCCGTGGAAGGATGTGGTGTGTGCTGCTGCCAGCAGGTCTCACTGATGCAACACACGGGTTGCAGCAGGACAAAGGAAAGCTCAGAGGGCATCTGCTGGGCTGGGAGGTGGTCAGGCTGAGAAGGGTGAAGTAGAGGGGTCAGGTTCTTTGTTCCTTCAGGAGGGCAGCAGAGCCTTGCTGTTAATGCTGTTCTGTCCCTGTGCTCCTGTAGGTGATGCTGGTGATTGATGCCGCTGTGAACCACCTGGAGAACTTGTCCTGCCTGGAAGAGTATCTCTGCAACCTTGGCAAGAAGCACCAGGCAGTCGGTGTGAAGGCCGAGTCTTTTTCGGTGAGGCGTCCTCTCTTGTCCCGCTGCGGCTGTGCCTGTGCAGGCCTGCCTGCAGCCCTTGGCTGTCCCCATCCCTCTGCACCCACCTGCTGGGTTCAGCTGGCTGGAGAGAAAGCTGGTGGCTCAGGGCATCCCCTGAGCTGCTGATACCTGCGTAGTGACATTGGCTTGATCAGGGAAACCCTTGAGCTCCCCTCATTTTCTGCCCTCCCCCAGTAAGCCCAGGGAGAAAGGACAGAGGGGAGCAAGGCATTTCCCCTGTTTGAAGAAGACCACAGTTTGGGGCACTGCAGTCTCTCCTGTGAGACACAGGGCTGCAGGCTCAGCCTTTGCCCTGGGCCCTGGATCTATGTGTCAAATGCTCTGGGCAAACCTCCCTGCAGCTGGGAAAGGGAGCATACACCTCTCTCCGTGCCTGCGCTGGGATGGGGTTGCTGCACCGCAGCCCCTGCTTCTTCCGTGGTGGTAAGATGGGAGCATCCTGCATATTAAACCCTTGCTTGCTCCTGTCCTGCTGTCAAGCACAGACAGAAATGCTGGATTATGCAGCAGGGAAGGGCAGGTTGAAGAAAAGGTTTCTGACCAACACGGGGCTCCCTCCTGATACAGCTAGCTTTGGTCCTCTTCAGAGGGAGCAGGGTCTCTTTGCCTGGGGTAGTGATCCCCACCAGCCCTGCGCTCTGTGGGTGGGCACTCCTCGATGGGGTTTCTTGCAGCTCTGTGAGGAGCAGTGCCCTGTGGAGAGGCCTGAGGGGTGGTGAGACAGGCCCTGAGCATCAGCCTGGGGTCTGACCCACTCTCCTGGCATCAGGGCGTTACTCAGCTCTGCTGATCCACTGCTATGCTAGGGGACGGGGCTGGCTACCCACATCTGGGAGCCACAGAGGATGGACGTGTACCTCTCCCCTGGTGTTAAATGCACGGTGTCAGCCCTTGCTCCCTGCCTGCACTCCCCACTCACCCAGGGTGTGGGGTGAGGGCCAGCATAGGGCAGGGGAAGGGGATGGTGTGGGCTGGCTCTGGGCCCCCTCTGAGCAGCGAGGGATGGGGTGGCCTGGTCCTAATGGTGGAGGAGAGAGGAGCAGCTGCCCTGGAATGGGAAAAGTCCAAAAAGGTGGTGAGGTGAGATAAGGGGCTGTGTGTCATCACATAGGGCTGAGCTTGACACCTCCCTGTTTGGTTTGCAGACTGTCGGCGAGTCCTTGCTGTACATGCTGGAGAAATGCCTTGGCGCTGCCTTCAGCCCAGACGTGCAGGAGGCTTGGAGTAAACTCTACGGTGCTGTGGTGAAAGCCATGCGACGTGGCTGGGAGACCCTCCCAGAAGGGGACTAGATCTTGCCAGCCATCCCCATCCCTGACCACGCAGTGGTCCTGGGCAGGGGGAGTGCTCATGATGCACTCTCTGCCTCCCTCCACCTCTGTCTTTCTCTGTGCACCAGCCCATCGCCGTCTCCTCCAGTTTCGTGTGGTTTGGGGCTCTTCCAGTGATTCTGCCTTGCTTCAACATGACCACATCTCTGCCTTTGCTGAGGGCTGGCAGGGTACGTCTCTGCAGCGGAGCCTAGGAGTGCCGCAGCACAGGTACGCCGCCCTGCCCCAAGCTCCTTTGGGCTAGCTGGAGCACCAACACCCATGTACCTACTCTGGCTTTTAGCTGGCTTGTCTTCCTTCCTCCTGCTACCCACCCTAGTTAGATGACAGCTGGCATAGGCCTCTTGGGCTTGTTTGCCTGAGATCCTACTTGCCGTGCCTAAGACCTGCCAGGTCTGGTACTACTCGCTCGTCCTGCCCTGCTGTGCCGGTTTCAACTGTGGCAATGGAGGATTTGGCTCCCTCCAGCAGCAGGGGCAGCAGAGGTGGGAGCTGGCTGTGCTATGCCATCTGGCCATTCTCCCCAAACCTTGCTGGGAGCTTTTGCCCCTTTTCCTTCACTGACATGTCACTATCACATGGTTAATCCTGGTGCTCTCTTCTGCCTTGTCTCTCCCCTGGATGGGATCCATGGCTTTTCCTTGTGTCAGGTTGGCCACAACTCAGTGTGTTTCCTAGGGATGCTTCAAGCAGTGGGGTCACGTTAATCCTGAGGTGAGGCTGTTTTTAGCAGGTCTGGGCTGCCAGCTGAAAGGCTTTGTGTTGGTTTGGCAGGTTGGTTTAACCTGAGAACCAGCTGAAATGCAGCAGCAGTGGTGGGTCTTTACTGCTTTGTGTTAAGGAGAATGAAGTAAATACAAGGAAAAGATGTCTTAAAATAAAAATGAGGGTTGCAATCATGTCATGGCAACAGCTTCCAGAAATCATTCTGGCTCTTGGCCAGAGGGAGCATAGCTGGAATTTCTCTGTTGTTGCTGTCAGGACCTGGAGCGCATCCCAGCTGCATGCAGTGCCCATCTGCAGAGCTCCTCACCCTTCAGTAATCCCTCCCAGCCATACTTGAGACACAGCCGCTTCAGAGCAGAGCGGGCACCCATTTAGGTGTGTGCAGCAGTGCTGTCAGGACAGGGGTGAGAAGAGAGCATCTGCTGGAAGAAATCCCAGGAAATGGCTGAGAGGCAGCTCCTGAGCTCTCAGGGCAGGGGGGAGCTGAACTTGAGCACTTTGAAGAAGAGGTCATCTTTATGGGGAAGTCGCTATGGGACAGGCAGAATGATGTTTCCAGCCATCACTAGCCCCAGGGCAAGGACATGGAGCAAGTTTTCAGTTACAGCAGCGCCCTTTTTGCTGCTCTTTCAGGGCAGGAAATGCCCGACGCTGAGGGCTGAGACCGTCCTGTTCTAGAGACGTATTCCTCCTATGCTTGGATGTCCTGCACTCCGGTGGAGGGGCTGATGAGCTGCCCTGTGAGATGGGGCTTTGCTTCCCTGCCACCAGGCCTGGTGGTGGCCGTGGGCTTCCAGCAAGCAAGGAGCCCTCCACCTGTGTTTGGGAGGGGAGCTGAGATGATGTGGAACAGGCAGTGAACATCCCCATGTAGGATGCTCGCTGTCCTCCCCACGGTACCAGGCTCTGCTCCTGCAGTCCTAGAGCATGGTGGTGTGCATCCTGGCCTGTGGCTCTCCATCAACTGGGTCAGGTGAGGTCTTCCCCATTCTTGTGCCAGGCAGTGAGGGATGGAGGAGCTGGGGCTGGGGGGGAGGCACTAGCTGTGACTGCATGGTATGGGGCAGGAGGGTTTGGGAATGGGGACATCCTCTTTGCAGCCCTGCTCTGGGGCATTGGCCTTCAGCATCATGGGGGAGGGGACCTTCTGGTTCTGTGTGACAAGTAGGCAGCTGTGCGATGGGGTGTGGGTGTTACTGCCCCAAACTATCCCCGCTCCCTCTAGCTTTCCCAGCTCCTTGACTTCTCCTTTTCTGTACCACGTTCTGTGTAACTCCCAAGAGACCTGAGCTAGTCTGTGTGCCTCTTATACCCAGCTGTATGGTTTAATAAAGGAACAACAGTGAGTCTTGGCCCTTTTTGATGCCTTCTGCTTATTTAAAAAAAAAAGGCCCAAGCAAGAAAAAAAAAAAAAGTATGACAGAGAGGGGTTTACTGGTTTCTTGTTGGCACTAGCTTTGGAGATACTGGTCACAAGGAGCGCTTGTGTAGTCCAGCTCAACTGCCATGAGAAGGCATCCAGCACCAAATGTCTGCAGGGAGGTATTGTGCACTGTAATTGAATGGGTGAGCAGTGGAGGGGCGAGCAAAGGCATCCTGCTTCTGATTGCTCATTACCCTTCAAATTGCATGACCTCTAATGGAATTAGAGTTTTAAGCAATCGGCCTAAAAATCCCTTTTCTGTTGTTCAGCTGCTGCTTTTGTTCTTTGAGATAGCATCGGTTCACCCGCTGCTGGTCACCCACTGCTGGTTGCCGGCAGCAGCAGGGCATGGCCTCGCAGTGAAGTCCTGCCCAGCTCCGTTTCAGCATCCACCCTGCCGGCTGGGCTGCTCAGCCGCCCCAGCAGCCCTGCCCCAGGGAGCAGCTGGTGGGGATGCAGGGGGTCCTGTCTCCCCCTTCCCCAGGGCATGTTCTAGCTTTAACATGGCAGGTTTCCAGCCCTGGGAGAGTTGGGCACTTGGCACTGAAGGAAGATGGTCCCTAGAGCAGGGAAGCCAGCTCAGGGTCTGTAACAGAATCTCCTGAGGGCTGGAAATCCCAGTCCTGCCACAGGAGAGCATGGTGAGCATCCTGGGAAAACGCGCTGCTCTGCCTTGGGCAATGTTCAGGATGGGGCTTGTTCTGCAGGGCAATGTGCGACGGGCTGTGAAGGGCAAGGAGAGCAGCAGAGGTCTGAACGCAAAGAAATCTTCCCTGTGGTTCATCACCAAAATAAATTTTCCATCTCTTCCTGGCCTGGAGCACAGCTGCCAGCCTGAGGGCTGGTGGCAGGACCCCAACCCCAGCGCTGCAGGGAAGGGCCAAGATGGCATCCCCCAAGAGCACCCTAATCTCTGACTCCTTATACCAGCATGGAGGTTTTCCATGGCTCCCACAAACCACCCCTTTGCCTTGGCTGCTGCCCAGTGGGGATGCTCCCAGCGCTGTCCACCGCCGGCTGGTGCAGTGGGAGATGCCATGCAACCACTCAGATCCAGCTGTGAGGGCTTTGCGTGCACAGGCTGCAATCAGGCGAGTGGGTTCCTGTGGGCCGGAGCGGTGGCAGTGCAGTGTGATGGGGCTTACACAACCTCATTAGGCTGGGATGAGCTTCCCCAGCATGAGGGCTGGGAGAGCCGTGAGCCGGGGGGGCAATTACAGCCCTCGCTCACAGCCAGGGCTCCTGCCTCAGCTCCCCGGCGCCAGTGAGGCCCTGCATTTAGTCCTGTTTACCACTCGTTATGAACCGTGGGGGGCCTCTGGGGGTGTGTGTGATGAGGGGAGAGGGTTTGTTAATTTTCTGGGTTTTCATCCAAAGGGAAGCCCTCCCTGTGTCCCCTGCCCCATGCCGTAAGCCAGGTTGGCCGAGCAGGGCTCGCCCCAGGGGAGCTGTGGAGGGGCTGGCATGAGGGACCTGCTGAAACCAGAGGCAAATCCTTCAAGTAGGGATTTGGGCATAAAGAGTGTGTTTTGGGAGGAAAGAGGGGAGCAAAAGAGCGTTGTCTGCTCAAAACCTAGAGAAAGGCTCCCAAAGTGGTGTTTGCCCCCTTCCCCGGGACTTGCTGGTGGGCAGAAGCTTTGGGAACACCTGCTCCATCCCCAGATGGGGCGAGTCCTGCTGCTGCCCCCGCTCCTTGCTGTGGTCCCAGAGGAGCTCCAGGCCACCCTGCTGCTCCCTCCCAGCAGTGTGTGCCCCTTTGGTGGTGTCCTGAGCCAGCCCTGCCTTCGCTGGCAGAGGACAGGCAGGGGAGGCGCATGCCCGTCTCTGGGCTGCACCCCCTCCCCAATGTCAGGGATGGTGCCAAGGGCTGTGCCAGCCTTTCTGGGGGGACATGGCCAGGTGCTCCCCCATTCCTACACCTTTGCTACTTCTGTCCACCCGCTTTTGCGGGGATCATGGTGAACAGCAAGGTGCCTGGAGGTGGGGAGGTGTCTTGAGTGATCTCCTTGCCATTGAAGGCTCTGCAGGACGTCCCCAAGAAGGGTAAAAAGCAGCCCACAGGGGGGGAAAGGGGCTGGGGTGCTTTCATGGGCTCCAGCAGTGAGGGTCTCCCCCTCTCCTGGTGCTGAGGAGGACGCGCCAGGGTGATGATGCCAGGCAGCGGCTGGGTGAAGTAATTTTATTCAAGGCACGGTCATAGCAATAAATCACGAGAAGGTACAGACCTCTGGCACATTCCTATGGCGGGGCAGCCAAGGGCAATCGGACCAGCAGCCCGAGCTCCTGAGGACATGGTGCCGCTCACAGGCACTTGCTTCTACCCAGAGAGGCCACCAGCATCCCCCGCCCCACTTTGGCCAGGGCTGCCCCCAGAGCAGGCAGCGAGGGCAGCAGCTGAGCTGTAGGCAACCCCGGGGGCACCTGGGCAGGGAGGCACAAGCCCCCCTGGTTGGTTTTTTGGGGTTGGGAGGGAGCGGCTGAGCTCAAGGCTCCCCCGAGGCAGCCGCTCAGTGGCTGCAGCCATTGGCCCAGCTTGCAGGAGCATGGGTGGGATGGGGGCCATAGGGCTGCCAGCTGGCCGACCTGAGACCCACCAGCCCCACGGGGATGTCCCAGGGCCCACCTGAGTCCAACAGAGACCCATAGCTTGCTGCTGAGCTGTCTTTAAATGCCCTCTTCCCACCCCCTCCCCCAGGAGTGGCACCCTGTCCTCCCCTCCCAGCAGCACCAGTAATGCTGAGTGCTGCCATGGCCAAGCATCTGCCAATGCACAGGAGCATTCCCCATGCCAGCAGCCCCAGTGCTGGCAGAGCTGCATCATTGTCCCTTCCCTCCCTGCATGGCCTCGGGATGGTGTAGATTGCTCTGAAGCCAACAGGAAAATCAGCCCCAAGGCCAAAGCAGGGCTGAGCGAGGAGCCAGCATGCCCAGGCGGGCTAGCCTGGTGGGAGAGAGGTGCCCTTGTCCCAGGGGCTTCCACAGCTGCTGTGGATGAGCTGGAAAATGCTAGGGGTGCTGCCCAGGCAGGAGCCAGCACATTTACACTGACCACAGCAGGACTCACACTTGAGAGGTGGTGCAGCTCCTGGGGGAGCATCCCATGGCTGTGGCTTGTGGGTGAGGGCAGGATGCAGTAGACTGGGACCCAGACGCTGGGGTCCTGCCAGCCTGCCACCCTCATTTCTGTTCCAACACGATGGAGCCATGTGGTTCCCACAGCCAGCCCCAGGGAGAGCACGAGCACAAGGGGGTTGCTGCCAGGGGAGCGGGATGACGAGGAGCTGCCCTCGCAGCCATCACTCCTCCCATGACCTCCTGAACCCCAACCCCCTCCCCCCCCGAGGACCCAAGGGCACAGGCAGTGGGAGTAGAGGGATGGGGCACAAGGGTGGGGAAGAGCTGGGCTTGCATTTTAATACCTGCCTCAGGTAGGTGCTCAGGCGGGCGTGGGAGCAGCCCTGGGACTCACCTCCTCCACCAAAGCACACAGGTCTCAACAGTCCCTGCTTTAATGGGCAAAGCCTTGGGGGGGTGGCAGCGGGAACGGGGCAGGGGGGGACCAGGGGAGGCAGCGGGATAGCCACCACGAGCAATGGGTGGGCAGGGTGGGAAGCAAGGTTTGGGGTGGCTGTGCCCTGCCCCTGGGGGCCGCGGGGGAC